TATATACACAAATATATATATATATATATATATATATATATATATATATATATATATATATATATATATATATATATATATATATATATATATATATATATATATATATATATATATATATATGTTTCGTATGTTATTATGCGCAATGTATGGTTTTACGATTTCCAGCAATCAATCGATCTGCAGATATTTTGTTATGAACCAAAAGCAAATAAACTGTTTGGCTACACGTCTCATTAACGATTTTTCGGTTTTATTAATTTAATAATGTCTTTTAATTTTTTCCGCAAATCTCACTATTTCTATTCCTGAAATTTGGCGCATTCTTTTGAGCCATGCAAATGAAACAAAGCCACGCACCCGCAATTAATGATGAACGTTAGACTTCGCTAATGAGTGTGCATGCAGTATTTTCTTTTTCTCGGGTGTGAATATCTGAGCGGAATTACTACCCCTGCCTGTGGCTTGGGAATTAATACGAAAATTTGTGTGGCTATAATGGCCATTGGCCAAGGACAAATCGATTAAATTTGGCTCGATTTGGATGAAATCGGATCAGAATTTCACCACATTTGTCTTGCTTTCTCGGAATAAAGAACACTGAACGTGTAATTAGATATTTATCTTAATTCGGCGGCATAGATATGCACTCTCTGAGTGCCTTCTACTGTATTGGGACGAGTCGTTACACTAACATTTAATTTACCTGTTTATCTTTGTATGGTTTTGCAGGGTGCCGTTACGCACAGTGCCAAACTAAGCGTGAAGACAGTAAATTTTGAATGGGAACCTCCAATGAGCCTCTCCGGAAATATTTCTTTCTTTGCTACGGTCGTGAAAGACAAAGCTACATTCTGGGTAAAACTTCAATCGCCAGAACTCTACAAGAGGGTAAGCGCTATCTATGAAATCAGGGGGCAAAAATTTGGGGGGGAATGGGGCAAGGCCTTGTTAATGGGTTTGCAGAAATGCTATTCTGCCGTGCAGTTGAGCGCTGTCGAAACATTCTAGGTAATGCCGGTAAGGGACAGACCATTATTAATGGCGGAGTTGGAGACCACAGAGAAAGCAAGCGAAAAAATCGTTACCCGCGATCTCTTCTAAAATATAGTTTACATCTTCACTGCATGCACCGCTCGAAGGCAGAGAACAATAATTACTCCACCCCTCGAGTATATCTTGTGCATACTATATTTCACAGGGACAAATATTATGTGCAACTGCATAACATTTTTGGTTCTATACAGATATAAAATCCATTACATAACAATACAGTGTCAACAAAAATCACTGCGTTTTGGAAGTGATATTAATCCTGCACCGTTTAACAACTAATCCTTCACCGTATAACAAATATTCAGGTTTGTTATTCTGCTTTCACGGATCATCCAAATTCTGTATATTTATTTAAACGTAGATGATGCTAACTTCGCAATTGATTTATATAGAAAATAATAACTGGTATTTAACAGTACTGTTCTAGCATCCAGAATTTACATGCAGATTTAAATTAATTAAGCGTGTAATAGTCTGCTCAAAACATATATTCTAGTTGTCAAATGCTCAAAGGTATAAATGAGAGCTAATGATTTTAGTGGGAAAATGACATTTGGACCATAGAAATGAAATATGCACCAGATTTTTTTCCGCGGGCGACTGGCATTATAAAAAAGCAAAAACTATGATTTGGGTAAGAAATGGAACTGAAAGCCTGATTGGCAACACTTCCAGACCACATTTTACTCATTACGTAATTAAAATACTAGAAATACATGCATGCAGCAACCCCTCGCCTTTTTTAACAGATGAAGCATAGAAATTCCATTCAACATGAACAACTCAATGTTTAATATAATAATAGTCGCTATGGTAACATGAAAATAATATGAGAAAATAATAGGAGATACCTAAAGAATCATTGATTTTCATAATTTGTTATTTGGAATGTAGTTTTATATCATGCGGCTTTCTATGGGCTAAAATTTAATGTAAAATGTAACGGTAAAACGTTTCCGAAACTTTGCCATGAAACTGCAGGCAAAACTGAAACACTATATTTTGGTGAAGTCAAATTTGCTGTAGGTAAAAGACCATTATAAGCACGCATAAAAACACTATACGCTGTATTAATTGCCCCAAATAAACAATATTTAAAATCACTACATTTATACAATTTCATGTAAATACCAGCTTGCATAAAAATATATTATTTATCGAGTTATTAAAGAACGGCGTAAAAATTTCGCAGATATAAATGAAATCGAAAACACAAAGCAAGTACGGTAAGAAAGTTTAATACTGAAATGTTTATAACACTTACCCAAGTCCCAAATATAGCCAAGAGGCCAAGAGTCCAAGACAACGATTATTATAAATTTTATATTGAAAACATCAGTGGTTCGTCTTCGACAAAATTTGTGTTTATGCATGCCTTTCACACTTTGTTTCACGGTTGACAGCCACTAATTCATGAAACTGCAGGCTTGTTTCCAGTTAATAGCGAAATACATCGCAAAAATATATTGTTAATTAAACAGCAAAATACGTCTTTGCAAAATGAAGAACAATTTTTTTAGTGCGAGCTATTACTCGTGCATGCGCAATAACGTCGAAGACTGTCCATCATATAATGGAGGACAACTTTGCACTTCGCTATGTTCTCAGAAACCCGGGCGGAATGAGCACCCTCGCCCCTGGAACGGCTCGGGGATTATCCTGTTTAAAAGCATTTTTACAGAGAATCAATGAGCTCCTTGAAACATACCGTTTCCAACCACCAGAACTGACTTACTTCATGTATGTGTAGTATTTAAACCTACCGCAGAACCCTGTTTGCGTTAGGCAAGGTCATGCGCCGGCCATAAAATACTCAAGAAACGCAGGTGTGTTGTAACTTCTTTAATTTCTATCCTCAAGCTCCTTGTACGTACATTTTTTACATTAACATAGAATATATCATTCTCACAAATTGTTGTTTATTATTTTTGAAATTATTACATCATTGGCGGGATAATAATGTTACAAACTTGGCGCCCAAAATGTAAGAATAAGTTATGGTGATTTAGTGGTTCTATTTGGGAGAGGATACTATGGGAATATCAAATCTGAAGTTTATTTGAATATACGATTATTCACTGCAAAGATTTTGAAAAATCAGCCATTTTGTTACTAAACAATACACTGTAGAACAAAATAGCGGATTTATCGAATTTTAAATCGCTATATCTTTGCATGTTTAAACAAACTTCAGTTTACTATTTCTATAATATTTTCTTCCAAAAAAATCATAAAATCACCTATGCGCGATTATTCACTGCAAAGATATAGCGCTCCAAAGTTCGATAAGTCCACCATTTTTCTCTAACTGTATTTTAGTAAGAAAATTTTTGCGCCAAGTTTGTGACAAAATACGGAAATTCCCAAAACGTAAAAAAACAAATTTGTGAGAATGATATGCAGCATGTTCATGTGAACAGAATGAAACTTACGGAAGCTACAACAGCACCTGCGCAGCTTTTTGAGTATTTACAGCCATCAGCCGGCGTGTACAAGTTTTCACGAATTAGTGCAAACTTTAATAAGTACACATGACGTACTTGCCCAAATGCCAGGTATTTATAAGTTGTATATAATTTTTTTGTTTTATAAATTGGAGATTAGATGTGTAAATGATCGCTTGGGATTGCATGGGTGTTGGGTGTTTCTGTTCTGTTCTATATTTCTGAAATTCTGTTACTCAATCTATTCTTCTAGGAAATGCAGCCAACCCAATCAACCCAATCGCCTGCAACCACGGAACAAGCACAAGGTTCCACAACTCGACCATCAGTGGCTAGTACGCATCAAGAAACTAGCTCTAAAAGCACGGACACAACTATGTCCACTGCGGCAACAACACGTACAACCAGCATGAACACAACTATGTCAACTGCGGCAACAACGCCCACAACCAACACGAACAAAACTATGTCAACTGCGGCAACAACAACAACCACAACCACAACCAACACGAACACAACTATGTCAACTGCGCATGCGGCAATAACAACCGCAACCAACACGAACACAACCATGTCAACTGCGGCAGCAACACCCACACCTACCACGAACACAACTATGTCAACTGCGGCAACAACAACAACAACAAGCAACACGAACACAACTATGTCAACTGCGGCAACAACAACAACCACAACCAACACAAACACAACTATGTCAACTGCGGCAATAACAACCACAACCAACACGAACACAACCATGTCAACTGCGACACCAACACCCACACCCACCACGAACACAACTATGTCAACTGCGGCAACAACAACAACAACAACCACAACCACAACCACAACCACAACCAACAATATGTCAACTGCGGCAACAACACACACAGCCAGCACGAACACAGCTGTATCAACTGCGGCAACAACAACCACAACCAACAACATGTGCAAACCTACCGATGCCAAATGTGATGGAATTCAGTTGAATCACAATGTTCTTTTTTTATCCTTCCTTGGGTTTTTTCTTGTATTCTGGCAAAATGCCATCTAATCTTATACCATAATTGTACTCTTCACTAATTTGAGCGCTTGTAAATAATGTTATGTTTACAGTCATAGAATTATTTATAAAAAATGCATAGGCAATGAGGGCAAAATACAAAGTCCGCAAGGAAACATTTGCAAAATTTAAATTATATTTTAAAAACTCATTAATAATTCACGAGGAAAATACAAAAGAAATGAACGTTTAATCAATGCTTGTAAATTGGATAAAGATATGTCCAAATCTACATCTTAACTAGTACATACAAATTTGTCTCATACCAGTATTCATATTTTCTGACCATAAATGTGTGGCTGCTCTAATTGCATTTTTGTCTCAGATGATGTTCAAATTTCTCCAAGTCATCTGCAAATACATTTACAGCTCTTCGCATGTTCAAACCACATAATATTCTTGTCGACTGCTTTAATAGTAAACTGTTGTAAACATATTTTATTGAACGACATCCTTGTAAATGTTTTTTAGTTGATTAGCTACCGTGTTAAAAGATGTTTTTAATAATAATAAAAAGATTATACAACAAACTTCAAAAATAGATTTTGAAAATTTGCATGCATTTAGCGCTATAAACGGTAAATGCATCGTGTTTTACACGCTTCTCTTAACGTATTCTCCCAACATTCCCCTCGTACATTAGCTATACCAGACCATAAACGCACGCGACTCGTTTTTTGACTATTCTTGACGTGCTATGGTTTCTCCAAAGTCCATACTACCCAGGCTTTCGCGCGATCTATGTATTGTAGAGATCTCGATTTGTAAAGATGTTTGTCGTAATTCCGGAGGAATAATTATAGGTAAGCATACAAACGATCGACAATATTTTGAATAATTCAGGTACTAAGCATGGCTTTATTTCTTTCTGGTTATATGCATGAAGGCATTTAAGAGGTATTGAAACAATACGATTTCATGAATTTATTGTGTTCTTACCCAACCATTAATTCAAGGCAATTAGAGCTGTCAAATTACTACAATACGTTTACTTATAGCTAATTTGAATTTGAAAGGGTTCAGTTTTTTTTATACACCCTTTATATAGCAATGTGCTTTCACCACGTTTAAAAAACAAACGCGGAATGTTGTGTATGCACGTTTTAATAATCAGGCTTATTATTAGCATAAAAAAATTACTGGATTCTCATTGGTTGAGAGGAGTACAATTATTTCATTAATTGTACTGCAGTACAATTAATGATTTTCCTAAAACAAACAAAATGGCGGAAAGATATTTTGAACACAAAATAATGTGAAATGAAATTGCACTAGAGGAACTAGATGAAAATACGAACAAAAGCACCAAATTTTGCTTTAACAAAAGAAATAAATGAAATACCAACAAAAGTACCAAATTTTGGTTGAAAGTCTGACAGGACTGGGCTTTGGCGAGAGAATATGATCTTGACGGAGAAGTATCCAATTTTGTCATGATAATAATAAACAAGTGATCATGTGATGCTGCTCGTACAATTAGGGATTAATAGTACTCATGATGTTTGGCAAAATTTCCACTCGTACTATTAATCCCTAATTGTACTCGCCATCCCATGATTGCCTATACTTAATAAAATTCCTATGGTAATTAACCCATGCAACGTGGATTGTTGTCTGCGCATATTAACTTACCAACAGTTACATGTAATAGCATTACGTTCTAATTCGCTATACGCTCAAAACGAACGTATAAATTATTTACTTCCTTTTTTCTACAAATCTTCACACATACTCATCAGATAACATGGGTAATACTCATTACACCACCACTAGGATTTTTTATTTACCTTTTTTCTCTCGGTATTTTGTTGTTTTGGGGGGGTTTTGGGAGGTTCTTTTACATACTTCATATATTGTAATTACACAATAGACAATTCCCATTATAGACTAATTTTAAAATTAGGCAAAAAGATGCAAATAAATCACAACAGCTAGAAAGAGCATACTAAAATTAGTAAAATTGCAAAGTTTGGTTGCGAAATGTTGTACAATGAGAAAAATATAGCTTGCAAAGTTTGCAAATTTTGTATGCTTTTGTATTACGTGCGGAAATTGCTACCATTTTTCGCATGCAATACAAAAGTATACAAAATTTGCGAACTTTGCAAGGCTATATTTTCCGCATTTTACAACATTTCTCAACCAAACTTTGCAAGTTTACTAATTTAGCATGCTCTTTCAGGAAATATACTTTTTTTGCCAAGATATAATATTAGTCTATAATGGTAATTGTCTGTTAACTATCCGTGTTGCTGTATCTATAAGGGACCGGTCATTAATTACAGGGGAGGGGGGACTGGTGGAAATAAAAAATTAGATGCTAAAATTTTGTTGCCCCCCTGAGGATAACACAATTATGCTTGACCCCACACACACACACACACACACAACTCCGGTCGCTACGACCCTGTTTGACAGCTATAACACTGAATTACAATACATTATATACTTATGGAGTGTTTCTTGATTTTTCCAAAGTTTTTTTTTACACCGTAAAACACGAGATACTCATCACTAAGTTAGAATCATATGGTATTCGGGGACATCCTTTGAAATTGTTCAATAGCTATCTTTCAAATCGCCAACAATATGTAAACTAGGGGAACATGAATCTCCAAAGCAAACAATGATCTGTGGAATCCCTCAAGGTAGCACATTGGGACCATTACTATTTTTAATTTACATAAATGATTTACCAAACTGTTCTAAAAAACTGGAATTTAAGATATTTGCGGATGATACAAATGTATTTGCTTCTGCAAGTGACTTAAAATCACTAGAAATCCTTATGAATTCGGAATTAGAAAAGATCAAAGAATGGTGTGACGTCAAGAAACTATCAATAAACATGTCCAAAACGAATTTTGTGATAATTAAGTCACCAAAGAAAAAAGACATGAGCGTCGATAAACACATTAAGACAAAGGACGGATCATGCCACTCCTTGGACTGGAAAGATCATATCAAATACCTAGGGGTTATGATTGATGCTTTGCTATCCTGGAAATATCACGTTTCATACATTTGTTCTCGAATATCTCGAAACATTGGAATTCTCTCCAAATTGAGGCACTATCTTTCCATTAAACAGCTCAGACAACTCTATTACAACCTTATATACCCTTTTATGTCGTATTCAATCTTAGTTTGGGGAAGTGCATATAAATGTCATATTAACAAAGAACAAATAAAACAAAATAAAGTTGTAAGAATAATCTTTAATGCAGTGAATTATGAAAAATATATTGAAAGCGCTCTTCCCTTGGTAAATCTTCTAGATATTAATTTTAACAGTAATTATGTCTACTCCCTGCATGCCCTTAAATTTATTCATCTATGGCATAAAGGACTTTTGCCAAATTTATTTAATGCATTTTTTCAATACGCAAGCAATATTCACAATTACAACACTAGATATGCCTCTAACAAAATCTGTATAAACCACGTGTGAAATCAAATACCGGAAAACAGATGATCTCTTTCATAGTAATTGATCTTTGGAAAAACTCCCTGAGTGAGATTGAGTGATCAGCTGAAGGATCTAAATATATTTTCCTTTCCCAAAAAGTTGAAACATTATTTACTGACACAACAATATTTTGCAAGAAATAATTGATCCGACTTAATCATGATATACCTAAGTATAATATAAATATTAAATCTTCTTCCTTCTGGAACCTAATATATTAAACTAGTGTGATTTTTCTTTCCTTTGGATTTTCTTACCTCTTTTTCTAAATAAAAAATTAACAGTAACTGGAGGCTAACTCGAAAACTTCACAGTTTATTTAACCTTCAGGCTCTAAAATTATAATTATAATATATTTATTTAATTTTAAAAAGAAATGTAACCTTTATAATTGTATACGTATTTATAATTTATTTTTTCCATGTAAAATTATTGAGCAAAATAAACTTGACTTGACTTAAACTTGACTTTATCTTACTATGCGCAAAAACATAAGTCTTACTGATACGATTATACAAGTCATCCTAAATTCCAATGTGTAGATGACCTTGTGTTTTTATGCACCATTACAGTCAAAATACAAAAAGCTAGTGTCCCACTAGCTTCCGCTTCTGTAGTTTGTTGTGATTTACTGTAATTTGTTCTGTTTTTCTGTAGCGATTATCGATTGTTTCGGCAAATACTGTGATAAAATTTAAATTTCGTACCTTTTATGCCATGAAACTAACGAAAAATGTATTCGTTCCCTTTGCTACGAATTATCATATTTAAAAATAGAGAAAACTAAGTTTTATCGCGGTATTTGCATGCCGATAAATCGGTAATCGCTACAGAAAAACAGAAGCGGGAGTGGGACACTTTTCGTATTTTCACTGTAATTCGTGGCAATTGAGGCTGTCAGGTCACCACAGTACAATACTCAACAGGTTGTGACTAATTTGAACTGGAAGGGTCTACATTTTCATTATATCATCATTGCTTCAGTTTCTATTGTCTTCTGTAGGTCGATATCATGTATAATAATAATGATTAATAATAATAATTTATTCATTTAAATAAAGCGCATATGTTATATTATATACTCGAAGCGCTGTACATTATAAAAATCTACATATATTAAGAATTAAATATGCTATATAAAACATGGTATTGTATACAATTAGAATATACACTAATGTATGTATCGATAATAAGAATGATAGAATCCAATATGGTCTCAACCTATAAAGGGTTATAAGCCTTATTGAAAATAAATGTTTTCAAGCGTTTCTTAAACACAGAAATGTTTTCACAGTTTCTGACATCCAGAGGCAGAGAATTCCATAATTGTGGAGCAGCATGTGCGAAAGCCCGATCTCCTAGAGTCTTACAGTTTGTTTTCGGGATGTATAAATAGACCTTGACCATCCGATCGTAATGTCCAGCGATCACTTGATTGTTTTGGGATAAGCATTTCAGAGATATAGATAGGGGCTATGTTATTAAGAGCCTTGTAAACCAGTAAAGCAATTTTGAATTCCACCCGGAATTTTACTGGTAGCCATGTGAATCCACTCAGTGGATGGGCAACTGTCTAAAAGCAGGGGGCGTTTTCTGACAACACAACTATAAATCAATTTAATCACACAACGTCTAACAATAAATCTTACCCAATCACAACTTTGCAGTTTGAAAAGTTAAAAACACGCATTCGCTTTGATGACTTAGCTTTATCTACATTATCATCTTCGCTGTCGTCACTCTCCTGATGTTTGCAAGGCATCCTTTTCAGTTTTAAGCTAGGCTTTACATCTTCTTCATCAGTCTTGTTAGTCCCTGTAATTACTTCTCACACCATTTCTCTCAACTTTTCACTTGGATGTTGGTAGTAGTGTAGAGACGCCAGACTTCTGTGACCATTGTTTCCATGACCAATTTTTCTGGGATCCCATGTCAACTCCACGAGTAGCGGTAGTTGCTCGCAAGGAGTGATTGGTTTTATACCACGGTATTCCTAGGAATTAAGACAGTGGGAGTTTGATTTAATTAGTTTACGTTATTTTCTAAAAATTATTTACTATCTAACTATCTAGTATAAATTATTTAATACTAATTTGTAGCAGCTAGAGAAGCGCCACAATGTTTAAAAATCCATTACTATTTTTTACCTGCTTCTTTGCACAAATTCTTGACCACTTTTCTCAGCGTATTATAACCAGCAGGCGTTTTGTAATACCACACAGCATTTTCTTCTTTTACTTTTTTCGGTTTTAGATAGAGCACGTCAAATGGACTGTCGACATCTTTGTCACGCTTCGTCATGTACTTCTTAAATACGTGGATAACACATCGTTCTTCGTTTACCTCACTCGCGTGGTACTCAACAAACCTCGCACCAAATTTTCGATGCTTCAAACCACCTTAATGTGTCTTATCAACAAAACCTGTAAATTGGAGCTATTCTAATTCGCTGTTTGTCGGAATAACTGTGAAATGGGAAGGCTTTAGAACACGATGCGCTTCTCCACCGCGGATGCAGAAGCATTTGCCAGTCAAAAACAACAGTGTAGTGAAAAGCTTTTGAGGTTCATCCGTACCGAAAGCACCCTTTTGCCACAGCATTTCCTCTTCATCGTAGGAAAACGGCTCGGCTTTTTTCACGTGAACACCAATCCCCTCAGACGACAACTCTTTCATCTGACTATCCAAACTATCGCAAAACTCGATCATCTTATCAGTAAATCAAGCATCAGTAAATATATTCAGATCAGCGTAGCCATTTTCGCGAAAATGACGTTGCAGTCCAGAAGCAATTTGCGTCAGACTATTGGGCGTGTAGAACTCCACGTTTTCTTCATGTAATTCTACCATGAATTTACTTAACCAATACGCTCTTTCTTCGTGCGAAAATTTTGGGTTTTCAATTTCATTCGAAACGCTCCTGAAACGGTCGTTTGAAGCGTTGCAGCCTGAACTATTTCTTGCCTTTGCCCGGCCAAGAAGACCAAATACGAACAGCCCACTTCGTGCCCCACCGAAGCGTTTAGTTGAGGAAACGTGTGGGAGCTCACGATCAAACCCGATAATTGTTTCGTCTGTCTCATTTTGGCAGTCACTATAAAGGAACTGTTCCAGTCCACGAAAGTCTTGGTCGCAATCACTGTGTAAAACCTTATTAAAAAAACGTTTTGTGTAATGAATAAGTCTTCGTCACTCTCGGCCTCCATGCCTGTAGTCTATACATACTGAGTGAACACTCTGCAGAAACAAATCCACACCAATTCAAATGTAAATGCTGCAAAAACAGTTGATCCATAAGCCCATAATGCTGCTTTTTTTCTCCTGAATTCAATGTACTGTACAAGGTATATAAAAATTAAAAAGGAGACCTTTTCAAATTCAAATTAGCCATAATCTATATAGAGAATAATACATGGGTGCACGGAAATACCAGATTTATTTCGAGTGTTGAACATGATATCTCACGAGTGAGCGCAGAGAACGAATGAGATATCATGTTTAACACGAGAAATAAATCTGGTATTTCCAAGCACCCATGTATTTTTCTGTTTATTATATAAAGGACAGTCTTTGAAAAGCGATAATTTTTACAGAAAAGCGATAATTGAAAAGCGATAATTTTCACATGTGAGATTATCATAAATAATCTCACATGTGAGATTATAAGTTTTATCAGTGCTCGAAATCTCTATAAAGCACTATACTTTATATAATAATTAGTATTAACTTGACAGCCGCTTCATCTCAAACTACCTCATTATAGGAAATTAACGATGCACTTTATTAACGCGACATAAATTAACGAGACATCAAATTAACGCGGATTGCTTCTAGGTCTTTTAAAACTTGATTATATTAACGCGAATCCGATCTCCATGGTTGACAAATTAATAAAATTAACGCGAATCGGATAGTGAACTGAGTTGAGAGGAGCACTGATGTTTTTAGTTTACGTTGATATGCTGTATTTTGATATTAGAAGAGTTAGTGTTACATAAAACAAATCAAGGTCTTTTTAACTAACGATAAATAAAAATTACATACTTAAAATTAACGATAACATAAATTAACATTAATTAGATTAACGCGAATTTTTAAAATCCGCGTTAATAAAGTGCATCGTTCATTTCCTATAATAAGGTACTAGTGTAATGATGCATAGTACACAAGGTCTTCTACAAATGGGAATTTACGATCACTTTTACAGTAATCGTAAAACATGGTATTTTATTTGCCCTTTTATTAATTCGGCGCTAATACGGCTGTCAAATTACTACACTATACGCCTCTGTAACTGTATACTAGTCAACACGATATTCATAACATTGTTTAACATTGTTTAAAATTGGCCCCTAAGCGTTATAACACGTATAGTGTGTTTATCACAATCACAAAAAAGCTATTCTTTTTTATTTTTTAACTTCAGCAAATGAAGATATATGCCGGTTATATATCTAAGACCTCAGTGTTTATGCGCATATCAACCTCGGCGCTGCATGCGCGCCTCGGTTGATATGTCGCGTAAACACTTCGTTCACGGTATATAAAACCTGTACTTATACACCCTGAAGAACGTAGCAAAAACCAGCGCATTTATTCCTGTGTACACGTTTCCCATGACCCAATCTAAATTTATTTATTTACGTACCGCGGGAAGAAACAGGTGGGAAAATTGTCCTCGCTGACCAAATTCATTGCGGTTGCTTTCTTTTTGCCAGCAAAAATTGTGAAAACAACAAAAAACACATTTTCGCTACCCTGTTTCTCGTACTGCAGCAGAGTAAAAGTAAAAGGAAGTTAGCAGACGTAAACGTTAATAAACGTTAATCAAGACCATAATTACTTGTCGCAATCGGGAAATTGGCAGTCATGTATTCTTCGCTGAAACATGGCCGAAAATGTGTGTTTTTGATGGGAAATAACCTCTAGTTGGAACTTAATATTGATGGAATGTTACATGAAATTTTCAGTACATGCATGCGTTAGTTATCCAGGACAAAGTATAAATATTTGGTTTTTGAGTGATACTGTGCGCCAACGGTGATCGTCAAATTTCAGTATGTGAGGTATTTTCCTAAAATTGCTTGTTTTTCACCTTAATTTTCTCATATATACAGGTTGTGCAAATGAAATGTGATCAGGTCAGAAGACGTGCTTTTCTTTTTTCTAGTTTTTGCCAATAGAATGTAAACTCGTACTGAGTTTTGGCAAACTTCATGTGCAAGTGTGATTTATACGAAAAAAGCGACTCAGAAAATGAGCATTAAAATAAACAATTTCCAATCTATTTTGCTATTAATAACAGTTTTAAAATGTTATTTTTAGGTTTTCAAAGTATTTAAAAAACAGATAAACATAGCAATCAGATTTTTCTATGACCCCCATTTCGAAGCGTAAACTTTTGTATTATTTTTAAACACAATGTTCGCTAGTTCAAAATTCTATAAACACAAATTTTGTCATGTTACAAGGTTATGCCAACGAAGTATCGCTGTTTACATGAAATTTCAAAGCATTTTTAAAGTCGGTATTAAATTTTTTGGCTTTGTAAAAAATGAAGATGTTTTAGAATTTTTGGTTTGAATAAATTACACATTTTATTAAAGCTATAACACGACATTTTAAAAGGAACTTTTTTGCTCTGTTTTGTTTTGCACTGAAATAATCGATATTAATAGTTTACATTGTTGTTATTGTGTTTACAAGCCGTTGAAAAATTGTCGTTCATGTTGTTTATGTTTTTTAAATTAACCAAGTGGATGCACGCATCTTCTTCTTCAATTAGGAAAATACGCACGAGGCATTTTTTACACAAAACGTAATTGCAGTTCGTACTTCGTAATATTTCATTTGTTTTTAAGAGACGGTTATGCAAAGCGGCCACGCTGGGACGAAACTTAAATTCTTGTTCGATACACCCTTTTCATTAATGGCTGCGATGAGAAATTCTTTTATGTGCATATAAATAGGCCCAACTAGCCTCGTACTCATGTTAATATTTCAAAGGAATTTCTACTCAGAAACGAGGCTAGTTGGGCCAATTTATATGCACATGAAAGAATTTTCAATCGGCAGCCATTTATTAAAAGGGTGTATTGTACATAACAAGTGCAGATTGAATCATTACATAATAACAATTTCCTGGTCAACACGGGAATCGCCTAAAATAATTTTATCGTATTCCTACAAACGACATTAATATATTCATTAGCGTTCTCAACAGACTGAATTACTCAACCTTGCTTTCTGGACACTCTTTTTCAATTCCTTATGATGAATATGGGAGATGAATATTTAATTTATAAAACCCATCGTACTTTTCGTGCTTGGCTTTTACCTTTTAGCTTTGTCGGCGGACAATCTTAATGCAATTAGCTGTATATTACAGGGTCCAGAAAAATAAAAATCCAATAATAATCCCAAAACAATGTCACGTTGCGGTTCGTGTACAGGCCAGCGCCTTTTAGTATTTAAACATATCGTTTCTATAACTCGAAATACATGCATGGAACAACCCCTCGCCTACATTTTCCAAAAATTGTCTCAGCACGATGTATTCTAATTACTCCAACATGGAACGCAGGTTCGCGTTGCTCGCGTCATGTTAGCCATGGCCGTGGCAACACGATAATTGTTTTCTTAATTTTTTGTGCAAAACGGCAAAAATAATTTAATGTTTTACACTTTTAACCACTGACAGAACTATGGGTTTCTAACATATTTAAAGTTACAGTAATGTTATTTTGCTTTCTATGGCCTTTATTATAATGCAAAATTCAACACGAAACGCTTCGTAAATAAACCTGAAAAATTCATTGAAATTAACTGCTTTTATGCCGATAAACTCTTCAACTTATTACTCGTACATTATTATTACCTAAACTTCTGATTAACAATGAATTGATACCTGCCACTAAAACCGGAGAGTCGTTTCGATACTTGGGGAAATATTTTGACTTCAGTATGTCCGAAAAAGAACACAAACAAGAGCTAATCACTCTCATGGACGACATTATGTCTGAAATTGATCTCAAACCTTTGCACCCGAAGAATAAACTTTTGCTTTATAGTCGTTACCTCCTATCCAAACTTTCCTGGCATTTCACTGTAACCACCTTATCAAGAACCTGGGTCACTGAAAATATGGATTCTGTGGTGAACAAGTACGTACGTAAATGGCTTGAAATACCTATATCAGGAACTCTATCTAACGTCTACCTTACCAGTAACAAGTTTGGTCTAAATATCTACCCGCCGTCAATTAAGTTTGCTCAGTGCCAAACAGTTGCTCGTAACGCCTTAAAGACCTCTCCAAATCATTCCATAAAAGACCTCTGGAAAATAACATTTGAAAGCAAAAACATTCAGTACGACGTTTACACCTCGACAAAGGAAGTCCTTAAAACTTTTACCTCCGGACAAGAAGACAAACTGCAGAATCATCTGATTTTGCAAGGCTCCTTCTTCTCAAATGTCATTAAGTTTTCACTGTCGAAATTAAACGGCATATGGTCTAAATCACAATCAAACCTCCCAAAGAACATCTATAACTTCACCATTCGTTACATCAATAACTCACTTCCAACTCGTAAAAACCTTACTAAATGGGGAATATTGCTCCTTCTGCTTAAACCCTGAACCCCTTTTACACGTAGTTGCTGGATGTCAAACGTATCTCCCACGATTTACATGGAGACATGATTCTGTTCTGAACTTCATAGCACAAACGCTACAATCTGTAAACAACTCCAATCTTTTCGTCGAGCTTCCTGGTTATAAAAGCCCATCAATTGTAATTGGTGACACATTCCGCCCAGACCTACTTCTATCTATCAACTTGGATTGTCTCTATATCCTTGAACTTTCTGTTGGTTATGAGTCTAATCTACAAACAAATGTTGATCGGAAAAGAAGAAGATACGAAGATCTCATTACACAGCAAAAGAAACAATTTAAGTCCGTAAAATTTGTCAATTTGTCAATTAGTTCTTTAGGCGTCTTCTCAAAAGAATGTCATTCCTTTTTAGATATGTTAAATGATCTAGGTCTTGATAAAAGACACCAACATTTTGCTATCAGGAAAATTATGTCTATCGCGATTAGGACAACATATTATATATTTTGTTGCAGAGATAAGGACTGGTCAAATCCGGAATTACTGAACATTTAAGGATACTCATTATTAATATATAAATATTAAGTAGGTTCAAGTAGCCAATTATAAATTACCTAAATTAGTGAGACTTATAATTGTATATATACGTATATAATTTCAATAAAGTTTCCATGATTATTATTATTATTATTATTATTATTATTATTATTATATTTATAATTATTATTGTTATTATTATTGTTATTATTATTATTATTATTATTATTATTATTATTATTATTATTATTATTATTATTATTATTATTATTATTATTATTATTATTATTATTATTATTATTATTATCATTATTATTATTATTATTATTGTTATTATTATTATTTTTGTTATTATTATTATTATTATTATTATTATAAATTTACATGCTCCCGAAAGGACTTTTCAACATACAATTACAATAAAAAGACTAAAAATATGCTATTATATACATGCGGTTAAAAATGGTAGCCAGGTACAATGTTCAATTATTTAAAATGTGTTTCATTACTTCAGATTTAAATTGCTTGATATTTCTCAATGATTTGCTTGAATCAGGCAGGCTGTTCCAATGTTTCGTCGCGCGATAATGAAACGTTTTTTGGCCATTGTATTTGATTTTGAAATTTCGAGATCTTTACTGGACCTGGTAGAATAATTGTGCATGGTATCTCTTCTAGCTCAGGTACGCCGGTGAAAGATCGGTCATGCACTTGTATGTTTGTACAATGTCTTTGTATACAAGTGTTTGGTCAACAGCCATCCATTTCAATTCTCTTCAGATGCGTATAATGTGGTCAAACGTTCGTGTGTTCGAAATAACACGAGCAGCGAAATTTTGGATTACTGGAGTTTCTTTACATTTTCTGCTGTTGTGTTTGCCCATACGGACGAATTCGAACAATAAAACAACGTTGTCAAAACCAATGCTTGATCCACTGAATACAACGTTTCCTGATCCATGAGATGACGAATCCTCACGCTGAGGACAACGTTCCTCACGTCGAGGACAGGGTACCTCACGCTGAGGACAAGGCACCTCACGGTGAGGACAAGGTTCCCCACGCTGAGCTCAAGGTTTCTCACATTGAGGACAATTAAGCTTCTTCACGCTGAGGACAAGGCTCCTCACGCTGAGCTAGAACAAGGTTCTTAACGCTGAAGACAAGGTTCCCCACGCTGAGGACAAGGTTCCCCACGCTGAGGACAAGGTCCTTCGCGCTGAGTACAAGGTTCCCCACGTTGAGGAAAAGGTTCCCCACGCCGAGCACAAGGTTCCTCTTTGCCGAGCACAAAGTTCTTCACTCTGAGGACAAGGTTTCTCAAGCTGAGGACAAGGTTCCTCACGCTGAGGACAAACTTTCTCAAGCTGAGGACAAGGTTCCTCACGCTGGGGACAAGCTTTCTCACGCTGGGACAAGGATTTCAACCTGCGGACAAGGTCCTTACGCTGAGGACAATGTTCCTCACGCTGAGGACACGGTTCCTAACGCTCAGGACAAGGATCCTCACGCAAAGGACAAGGTTCCTCACGCTGACGACAAGGTTCCCCAAGCTGACGACAAGGTTCCTCTCGCTGAGGACAAGGCTCTTCATGCTGAGGACAAGGTTCCTCACGCTGAGTCAATGTTCCCCAAGGTGAGGTCAAGATTCGTCACGCTGAGAATAAGGTTCCTCACGCTGAGGACAAGGTTCCTCACGCTGAGGACAAGGTTCCTCACGCCGAGCACAAGGTTCCCCAACCTGAGAACAAGGTTCCTCATGCTGGGGACAACGCTACTTACGCTGAGAACAAGGTTCCTCACGCGGGTGACAAGGTTCCTCACGCTGGTGACAAGGTTCGTCAAGCAGAGGACAAGGTTCTCACGCTGAGGACAAGGTTTGCACGCTGAGGACAAGGTTCCTCACGCTGAGGACAAGGATCCTCAAGCTGAGGACAAGGTCCTCACGCTGAGGACAAGGTTCTGACGCCGAGGACAAGACTCCTCAAGCTGAGGACAACATTTCTCACGCTGAGGACAAGGTCCCTCACGCTGAGGACAAGGTTCCCCAAGCTGAGGACACGCTTCCTCACGCTGAGGACAAGGCTCCTCACGCTGAGCTAGAACAAGGTTCTTAACGCTGAAGACAAGGTTCCCCACGCTGAGGACAAGGTTCCCCACGCTGAGGACAAGGTCCTTCGCGCTGAGTACAAGGTTCCCCACGCTGAGGAAAAGGTTCCCCACGCCGAGCACAAGGTTCCTCTTTGCCGAGCACAAAGTTCTTCACTCTGAGGACAAGGTTTCTCAAGCTGAGGACAAGGTTCCTCACGCTGAGGACAAACTTTCTCAAGCTGAGGACAAGGTTCCTCACGCTGGGGACAAGCTTTCTCACGCTGGGACAAGGATTTCAACCTGCGGACAAGGTCCTTACGCTGAGGACAATGTTCCTCACGCTGAGGACACGGTTCCTAACGCTCAGGACAAGGATCCTCACGCAAAGGACAAGGTTCCTCACGCTGACGACAAGGTTCCCCAAGCTGACGACAAGGTTCCTCTCGCTGAGGACAAGGCTCTTCATGCTGAGGACAAGGTTCCTCACGCTGAGTCAATGTTCCCCAAGGTGAGGTCAAGATTCGTCACGCTGAGAATAAGGTTCCTCACGCTGAGGACAAGGTTCCTCACGCTGAGGACAAGGTTCCTCACGCCGAGCACAAGGTTCCCCAACCTGAGAACAAGGTTCCTCATGCTGGGGACAACGCTACTCACGCTGAGAACAAGGTTCCTCACGCTGGTGACAAGGTTCCTCACGCTGGTGACAAGGTTCGTCACGCAGAGGACAAGGTTCTCACGCTGAGGACAAGGTTTGCACGCTGAGGACAAGGTTCCTCACGCTGAGGACAAGGATCCTCAAGCTGAGGACATGGTCCTCACGCTGAGGACATGGTCCTCACGCTGAGGACAAGGTTCTGACGCCGAGACTCCTCAAGCTGAGGACAACATTTCTCACGCTGAGGACAAGGTCCCTCACGCTGAGGACAAGGTTCCCCAAGCTGAGGACACGCTTCCTCACGCTGAGAACAAGGTTCTTCATGCTGAGGACAAGGTTCCTCACGCTGAGGCCTAAAAGCATGTAAAGCCCCTAAGAGGCCTAAAAGCATGTAAAGCAACAGGTCTTGATAAAATTCCTGCTAAAATTCTAAAATTATCTGCAAACATTATTGCACCCTCGTTGACATTCATCTTCAATCTGTCGCTTGCAACAGGCGTATATATAGATGAATGGAAGCGTGCTCGTGTTACGCCAATATTTAAATCCGGGGATAAAAGACAATGTGAGAACTATCGGCCTATTTCAATTTTACCGGTGGTGAGTAAAGCCTTTGAGAAGGAAGTTTTCCGTCAAGTATATAGATACTTGTCTGAAAGCTCTCTTCTGTCAAAGTTTCAATCTGGATTTCGTCCAAAGCATTCAACTGTAACTGCCCTCATCCAAATGTGTGATGAGTGGCTAGAAAATATGGACAATGGAAAGTTAAATGGGGTTGTGTTCATAGATATCAAAAAGGCATTTGACTCTATAAACCATCGCATTTTGTTAAATAAAATGAATGAGCAATTTGGAATTTTTGGCGTAGAATTAAAATGGTTTGAGTCATATTTAACAAATAGAGAACAGCAATGTAATGTTAATGGAGAATTATCTAGTAATAAAATTATCACCTGTGGAGTGCCCCAGGGATCTATACTGGGACCACTGCTGTTCCTATTATATATTAATGATTTGCCCGATTGTTTGAAATCAACTAATCCATGCATGTACGCGGATGATACTCAAATCTTTTCATCTTCCTACGATGCAAATGAACTTGTTGTAAATTTAAATTCAGATCTTGCCCATGTCTGTAACTGGCTTAAAGAAAATAGGCTGCAGATGCATCCATCAAAATGTAAAATGATGTTTATTGGCTCCCCGTATAATCTTAATAATATAATGTGTGAGGAACCCGTTGTGGCTAATGCCAAACCCATATCACGAATTGCTACACAAATGTGCCTAGGAGTAAAAACCCTTAATTGGGATAGTCACATTGAAATGATTTGCAAGAAGGCGAGTGCTGCTATTGGCGCTATGAACCATATAAAGCCCTTTGTTCCAATGCATACCTTAGAATCGATTTATAAAAGTCTTGTGCAGCCCTACTTTGATTATTGTTCCCCCCTTTGGGACACTTGTGGTAAGTTGCTAAGAGACAAGTTGCAAAGATTTCAGTCTCGTGCAGCAAGAGTCCTAACGGGTGCTAATTATGATACTCGCTCAGCTGATCTTCTCAACATGCTTTCTTGGGATACACTTGAAAATAGGCGGTCTGGTGCCAAGTCAGTATTAATGTATAAAATACTTAACGACCACACTGCGCCAGGTCTCCGGGGGTCATTTGTGAGAAGAGAAATAGATCAAACTAATTATCATCTTCGAAACACAGCAACTGATCTAACAATTCCTAAACCGAAACGAGAATTTCTTAAAAAAAGTTTTAAATATAGCGGCGCTATGCTCTGGAATCAACTCCCAAACGAAGCAAAATTGGCCGAGTCGCCCCATTCGTTTAAATCAATTGTTGGACAGCGACATGCTTCCTAATTATTTGTATATAGTAACGTGTACAGTATGTGTGTACTAATATTTAGTTTAAATTTTCCTTTTA